CGCATCTTGGCAATTTCCTGAAAACAATGAATTTTGAAAAAACGTTCGGAACGTTTCTTATAAGCAAGTTTATTAAAATTATGCAATTTAAATTCTTTGTAGCAAAACGATAGAGCCAACTAACCATATAGAAATTCATTGAGATACCCCAGAAGAAGGAAAGGCGAGGAGCAAACTGATCGATTGTCAAGCCTGCATCCAGACCAGTATGCGCATATTGAATACCATCCGCAATAGTAAATGCCATTTCGAGCACAGCATCAGCTCCAGCCTCCTACAAATAAAGCCAGTTGGGTGGAAAATGGCTGCATGATAAATTTTGTACTAAAGCATTAGGGGTACTTACCTGCATATGGTAACCACTAATCGAAATTGAATTAAATTTAGGCATATTTTTCGCAGTGTAGGCAAAAATATCACCAATAATTCGCATTGAAGGGGCAGGAGGGTAGATGTACGTATTTCGAACCATAAACTCTTTAAGAATATCGTTCTGAATAGTGCCAGCTAGCTGTTTCTTTTGGACACCCTAAAACTGTCTCGCACTCTACCTATTTACAAATATGATAGTGGTTTTGATCCATAAGTCCAAATGAGAGAATAATCATAATACAAAATCTGTAAAAAATCCAACGAAATCAAATTATTCAAATGAGGTACCGTCTCCTCAGCTCCAGCAATAAACATAGCTAGTACGGGTATGACTGCACCATTCATAGTCATACTCACAGACATTTTGTCCAGTGGAATACCTTCAAAAAGACGCTTCATATCTTCTATTGAATCTACAGCTACGCCTGCCATGCCAACGTCACCAAACACTCTTGGGTTGTCCGAGTCATAGCTGAATTATTCTTGGTAGAAAAGAATTTAAAACGGGATAAACTAAGAAAAAAAGAAGCAATGTTTCACATCACACAAAAAACAGAATGACAACCTTACCCTCTGTGAGTGGCAAGATCGAACGCCACCGACAGTCCCTGCTGGCCAGCCTTGATATTATCACGATAAAATTTATTTGATTCTTCCACAGTTGAAAAACCAGCATACTGACGAATGGTCCAAGGACGCTGCGTGTACATTGTCGGATATGGGCCACGGGTATATGGAAACTCTCCAGGCAGCTGAAACTTCACAGTTGGATAAATGAACTTCTACAACACTTGCACTAAAAAATAGAAATCATGAAAAAACTTAAAAATCACTTTCTGAATCGGGAACAAACCCTCAAATGTTATGGTTACTAGGAGATTTTGTTGCAGTTCACTTGCCTACCTGATGCATCTGAACTGTGTTTCGCTAAACAGCTTCAGCCAATAAAAAGAAATAAACATGGAACTACCTCATGAGGCTTCCCATGCTCAAACTCACGGTCCTTCGCAGTGTAAAGCGGTTTAATGGGAATATCCTCCGGTGTATGCCAAATCAAAGTGTTCGGGTCTTTGCCTTTCATTGCTTTCTGTGCCGCAGCAACCCACTTCTCGTCAAGTGGCAAGCGCTGGTACCCAGCAGCGGAGTGAGCCACAACATAACGCTGAAAAAGCTTCAACGAGTGAGAAAACTACATCGATGTCAATAAAGTAAGCAACAGAAAAGAAAATATTTAGAAACAGCCAGGCAACCTTTCCGTAATATACGACTTCACGGATCTACGCAGTGTAAAGCGGTTTGACGATGATATCTTCCCGCGTTTGCCAAAGTGGTAATTGTTTATTTCATAAATACTCAAAAACCAGAACTGATAAAGAGGACAGAGGTTAAAGACAAATCGGTTTCCCTCAGGCACAATAATCATACTTATTAAACAAGTTTCTTCGCTGCTCAAAAGTAGAAACCCTGTGTTTCATTGCAATTTTTACCCCTCAACCTTAACGATTTCTTCATAGCACACTTGTCAGTCACCAACCCTGCCTGAAATTCACAAACCCTCTCCAAGGAGCAACTCTACATGACGTTTAATACTTCTTCTAGCTCACTCTGACACAAAGACTTTGAATTACTCCCATGGTAATCCACAAAAGAGTGTCTTATACATAATTAACAAATAATTCCTAATTCCATTTAACCAACTGATTGCTGGACAAAACCAAGATGCTTCGCAACATGAAATTAGCCTGCTTATCGCTGTCTCAAAATAAAAATTTACTCGCAAAACCGCAGATCCCCCAGCAATCCATGATCCAAACTTCAGAAATCTACCTTTTCATGGTGTAAATCTAAGCTCACTCTCCCTGCTTGATTAGATCATTTAGAACCCAAAAGCAGGGCTGCGACTGAGGATTGCAGCTAACTCCGTTCTTTAGAGAAAAGAACAGAAGATTTTGCACTAAATACTCACTTCC